AATCTAGACCAGTAGTTCTACTAAATTTTAACGTAAACCAACGTAACCCTTCTTTATTTTAGTAAATTTTGTTACACCGACCCCCCCCCCCAAACCTATCATTGTTTTTTGTTTTGACAAAAAAAATTCATATACATAAAAAGCTGTGTTCCAAAATTAAATATTTTAATTCAAATAGATTTAATTTGATGAAAAACATTTTTATGAAATTTTGGACATGACTCGCAGCCCTCCTGGATTACCCTAGCAGACCCCACTTTGAGAAATGCTGATCTAGTCTATGACGTAGGAAAACCAGATACTCAACTGTTTATAAGTAACATGACATGAAGTGTTTTACACAAACAATTTTAGACCAATCAGACTTCACATCTTGTCACATGCCACAGAATTAATTAAACTTTTAAAACTTTTTCACTAAAACCTTAGTATAGAGAAAAAAAAAATCTTATGGTTAACTACAATATATCAAAATTTAAAGTTCTGATGAATTTATGGAGCTTGACAAAGTTTCAATAAAGTAATATTGGAGAAACATGAAACAACACCTGACTTCAATCAGATATTTTCATAACATTTACATATATTTTTTGTTATTTCATGAAAGTGCACAAACTGAACTAAACAAGGTGTATATATACATAAACATACACACACACACTATGCAGGTTTACTATTGTACCATGCATCACACACATTTTATGTACATTTTGTTTCAGCATATTTTACACCCACTGGTACAGTAACAACTACAACAGAAATTTAATACTGAGCAGAACTTACAATGAGAGGGAACCCATTCTTAAGGCAAAGTGAGTTAAAAAAATAGGTCTAAACTTTTCCCCAATTTTCTAAATGTGGTTAATTATTTACAATCTGCTACTACCAAGCAATGTACATGTTATTTCTGTGGTTCTCTTACACAGAAATTAACTCACGATTACAATGGAAGCAACTACCAGGTACATGTACATATGCAGCTGAAGTGTCTGGGATAATGAATACATAGTTTATTAGTTTAACATAAACTGTTGTTCTAGAAACTTCATTTTTGGTAAAGCAAGTGCATTATTATGAACTCTTTTGAGTATACACAATCCAAACATTAAAAGTGAAAATTAAATATGGTATAGTGAAGAGAACTTGGAAGCAGTAATTAACAAGTCAGCATTAATCTAAGCACAAGATAACAGACAGCTTTGGAAGCAGTAATTAACAAGTCAGCATTAATCTAAGCACAAGATAACAGACAGCTTTGGAAGCAGTAATTAACAAGTCAGCACTAATCTCAGCACAAGATAACACATAGCTTTGATAGCAGTAACTAACAAGTACGAATATCAGCACACGATAACCCACAGCTTTGGTAGCAGTAACATCATCACAAGATAACCCACAGCTTTGGTAGCAGTAATATCAGAACAAGATAACCCACAGCTTTAGATCTTGTGCTGATATTACTGCTACCAAAGCTGTAGGTTATCTTGTGCTGATATTACTGCTACCAAAGCTGTGGGTTATCTTGTGCTGATATTACTTCTACCAAAGCTGTGGGTTATCTTGTGCTGATATTACTGCTACCAAAGCTGTGGGTTATCTTGTGCTGATATTACTTCTACTAAAGCTGTGGGTTATCTTGTTCTGATATTACTGCTAACCCCACAGCTTTGGTAGCAGTAATATCAGCACAAGATAACCCCACAGCTTTGGTAGCAGTAATATAAGCACAAGATAACCCACAGCTTTGGTAACAGTAATATCAACACAAGATAACCCACAGCTTTGGTAGCAGTAATATCAGCACAAGATAACCCACAGATTGCAGTTTTTAATCATACATCACATATACTTCTTTTTCTTCCATATATGACTATTATTTTTGCTTGTTTAAATGTGAATCAAGAAAACTGTGAGAAATGTTGCTTCAAATCAGATTTTCACAGCATTTTGAAACATAGTGTCTTCCACACATTGAAATAGAAGGTATGTTTATGCTATATCCTAAAACTATCATATGTTTAGCTTGTTTCAAGACAAAAAACTTGCAAAATTTTATACATACAAACCTCATGTGAGTATAACAAATTATCTAGCCATTAAGCAACATGATAAATGGTGAGTGTCATTTGCTTTCGGACCAGGGATGTAATTGCACCACTGACTTTGCAGGATATAATACAATCACACTGAAGTTTTTGTTAAAAATTATTAATACAAGTAGAGTCAAGAGAATGTTCTATATGATGACATAACTGTGCTCCTCCTCATTTTTTTTTATCCAAATGATACCACTGTGAACAAAGTCCTAAGTTAACAGTACTTTAACTTAAACTTCTATGATAACTATTTGTGACGTGATACGTCATATCATAACAATTGTGGTTCAGCATCATGCCTAACCAATCTTTTGCTTTCTCTGCAAGTTGACAGATATAAAGTAAAATTGTTAGTCATACAATATAAATTAGTTGAAGTTTTTATATGAAAGAAAAAAATCGCTTTGATCTAGATACATAATCGTTACATTACCTAACTTACTTGACTGTTTATTGATTTTACAAAAATCTGGCGTAATATCTACTTTTTGCCTGGAGAAAACAGGAGCCTCCAAGGATATTTCACAACTTGTACTTGTTACGTGTATTTGAGCAGCCTCCTTATGGATTGCTTCCAATGACTCTGACCTAAATCAATCATCAAGTTTACTATTTAATATCAAATATTTACAGTATTAAAACTCATAGAAACTCTTAACAACCAACAACACAAGTTATGTCCTATTGAATTAAATACAGCTATGAACTATATCAGCTGTGTACAGTAGTAATACTAAAGGAAATCTCTCAAAATCTAAAGCACAAATTTTGTGCTATTGAACTAAGGCTACACATTTAATAACTTCATTACAAAGTTATAATTTTCCTATACTGAAAATGTATTTCCAATAGGTACTTACCTACTGGAATCAAATTATTCCAACATGTCTCTCATGCAAATCATCATGCATCACTTCTCCACCAATAGAAGAATAGTACACTCACATGACACATGTGACTCTCTCTATGCACCTCTACCAAACTATCACTTTGAAGTTTGGCAGATGACAGAAACATTGGAAGTGAGTGGGGGAGGAAGGGTGGGAAATGTGAATGGAGGGAAGTACGTATCGTAAATACATTTTCAGAATAGGAAAATTATAGCTTCTGATACAGAACTTCCTTCCACTCACAAGATTAGCTAGAATCCCACGTTGACAAGGAGGAGGGACCAGTGCGAGGGAAGAAGAAACGTACCCCCCAAAAGCACCCAAAGGATACCACTGTAGATGAGAGAGTCAAAACACACCGCCTCTGATCCAGGTATACTCTTTGCCCATATGTGGAATGTGTAAGAAATCATGGCAGAAATTGAGGAGCACATCCGAGTGGGAGAGAGACTGATCCTAACCAGAGAAAGATGTAGTAACGCAATCCCACAATAAGAAAAGTGGGTAAACAAGGATGCATCCCATGGTGTAGAGTGGCTAGGGTGCAGTGGACTGTACTCTGTAAGTCAACTACTTACAAAACCTCCTCACAGGGTACCAACATCCGTCTTCACCTCAAACCCAAAAACCGAGGAATTGAGAACCACTCCAACTCCTGGGTATGACACAGTATTAACACTCAGCTATAGATACAGGAATTTGACATCTGGTATCAAAAGGAAGTCTATCATGTGCAATCAATGCCTGCAACCATGAAACAGGTTGGGACTATCCAACGGGCAATAATGTCCACGTAAAAAGAGAGAATGAGGGAGAGCCAAGGATAGAGCCAGAATATTCCCACATACCCCTGCTGTGACCCACAACACAGAAGTAGGAAATCAAGGGAGGAAGATAGACAACCCTAAATTTGTGTGAGGACTTATGTTGATTGGTTCACTCGAAATCCAAAACCAGCCCGTGAGGTGTTGACATACACGCTAGAGTAGGATGAGGGCTCCCAATCAAAGGGGGTGAACTGCATTTCGACATCTGACTCCATTGTATGATTTATCGCAAATTGGAGGATATTACATCATTTACATTGGCAGAACACCACCGCCCTACTCTGAACTGAATGGTTATAGTTATCTTATGTGGAACCCATCCAACAGGGTGCCTCCATGGTCAACCACCCAACCGGCTTGGAACTGGTAAGTGATAAGAACTCCCAAAAAAATGGGGGGCTGAGTATGCATTGGAGAGCACTGAGGAAGGTGAACACCCGAGATAGTGCAATGAGTGATCACAAAACCCTATTCTGAAAAGCAGACCATACCTATTTATTCAACTGAGGCATGGCAAGGATGAGCAACTATCCCCTTCTGCTTTACCCATGAAGTCCATGGGTCGTACGGTCTGAGACGAGCCAATTTCACCTACAAGCGATCTTGTGAAATACCCCATCTCAAAGGTGAGTGTGCAAAGCCATGGAAAAGAAAGTGCTAGTCAACATGCCATACAGTGAGGATTTAGATTTAAAGAATACCTGGTCATGCATCGCTCACCACAAAGCGGGATCCAAATAGTGAATAATGAAGCAACAGCCCCTGAAAGGAAAGATATTGAATAGAAACTTACCCAGTTAGAGTTCCACTGAAGTATGAAAAAACGGGCACAGGTGGTAGACGAAAACCCGACGAAGAAGAAACCGTGATATAGTGTGGAGGGAAGATAAATGTATTAGGTGTAGTCCTCATGCCCAAATGTAAGAGTTTCCCCAAATGGACAATGAAGACGAGATGCCAGGGAAAAGGTAAGGATGTCGAACCTGATGAGAAGACACCAGAAACAAAGTCTGGGAGGAAGATGATAAAGGGGAGTAAGCCAATGGGATCAAAAGGGCAGAAGGAGAAATATTTCGACTGGAAGAAAACTGCCTAAGAATAAAGAGATGGGAACAGGCACTAAGGAAAGAAGCCATAAGGGCAATAGGACAACGAAAAGCACAGACAGTACATAGGAGTCAATCCAGATCAGGAAGAGGATAAAGATGGGATATGAAAGGAAGGGAATTAGGCAAAAGAAGGAGTTGCCTCCTCTAGCTACAAATGTATTAATAGGGGAAAAAAAACGGGAAGAAAATGGTGTAGTGAATGCATCTTTGATGATGTTGAGTCGAAGAAAAATCTGGAATCATGATAGATATGAACCTATCCACAAAATTACAATAAATCAATTAATGGTAAGAAGGATAAATTATAAACTAAATGAAATTAATAGTAAAAAGGATAAAGTATAAACAAAATGAATTAGTCAACATATTAAAATGGGTGGAAAACAATGTAGGGAATGAATTCCGTATGAAGTAGTGGTGAAGAAAAACTGGAATCTAAGTAGATATTAACCGTCAGTAAAATCACGAGTAAACCAATAAACCATACAGTAATGAAGCAGAATCCAACAAGATAGTGAACAGAAATAACAAGGAAATCTAAACTAGAACTACAGTGAAATCAAAAAGAACGAAAACTGAACAATGAATAGGCAAAATACTGGGAGAAGTCTGTGTGAACCCAGATTCAAGGGTTCCACCCAAACCAAGTGAACTATCTGCAGAAACTAGTTAAACCAACTTGTAAGAACAAAAGGAGATACATCTCACTGTTGAGAAAAAGTTCAGGAAACAAAAAGCCCTGGATAGGTTCAGTAAAGAACCAATAATGTCAATTTAGCTGGACAGACAATAATAAGTCAGGATCAAAAAAGCCATAGTATGTGATAGGAAAAGAAGAACAATGAATGAAGATATATGATCATATTCTCCCAAAAACCATATTTGGGGAAGGAAAGAGTGACTAAATGTTTTTCAAATATAGAGAAAATTTTTTTGAGTAATTGTATTCACAAAACATTTTGTAGCATATTATATTAAATACTACTCATAAGTACTGGTAGTGTTATAAAACCTGTCTTTTATGCAAACTAGCATGAAGCTAATTGCTTTCTTAAATAGAAAAAAAATTGTTGGAATACTACAACAGTAACAACACATTAAATCATGATAAGCTGTATAAGCAAAAATGACTAAGGATTAAAAATGTTTAAACTGCTTTTTCATTACAGTTCTTTACACACAGAAAATAGTTTTGTATATATATATATCATGCTAAAATGTAAAAAAAGAACTTTCAAAGTTTTGACATGCATAACATTTCATATACATTTATAAAGTTGAAATGTAATATATTTATATCAATAAAATGTTCATATTTATGGAGAAAAAAAAAGTGTTCTAATAAACTATTATCAACAACTTGGAAAGTTACAATTAACTGCATTCCATACCTTTCACATAACAAAATAAGTCAAAGTGATTCACAAAACAATCTACAAACTTACATGGTCTTAGGTTTTTCATTATTTCTGGGTACATTTTGTTGAAACAAAAGTCTACTGTAATCTCTGGTAGGGTACTTCAAGTTGAAATCAGCAAGATCAGGGGTTCGGTCAAAGTTTTGCCTTTTTTTTGTTGTGGAAATGGCGGGAGTATTTCTTTATGAAGTCAGTTAAGATCAGACAATATTTGTAATAAACAATGTTTTCTCTTAATGCTACTATGATTATTACCAATAAAATATTAGAACTGTCTTTTAAAAGAAGAGATGACATGGATGTTGCTGCTAGATTTTTTTTAAGGTAATGATACATAAAAATTAAAACCAAAACCAAACAAAATTAAATATATAACAAAAATTAACCAAACAACACACAAAAAACATCAGTAGTGTTCTGATGCATGAAGTATCATTCTACTCACTGTTTTTCAAAACCAAGACATCAGTATATTTTCTAAAATTTGTGACATAAAAAGCACTTCTAGCACTCAGTACATTATACAATTTAGACAAGATGTTTTAAAAGCAGGATTTCTACTCTTTTAAACAATGTCATCAAATGGTTAGTTTGGTTACCCTGTATATCAGGAGAAAATGTCCATAAAAGTTTCCTTATATAATCTAAAATGTAATTTTTTTTTAAACCATTATTGCAAATTACAAGATACTAAATGATAACACAAGCCATAAAATTATATGTGCCAATAACTAATGAGCAAAACCTTACAATAAAATAACTGAATATCAACATATCCCATTTTAAGTGTCTCAGTGAATAATGACAAAAGTATATTCTTAAGCATTGAGATTAAATTGTGAAGGATACAAGACATTTTCTCCTTCTGTATTTTCACTTTCACAAGTAAAGGAGTTGCTCAGGATAAATGTGTTATGGTTTTGTATCTCACCTTCTTGTACTTCAGTGAAAGTATTCTCCAAACAAGCACCTGCACTGCTGGACACTTCTACTTCTGAAAAATTAATTTACACAGTTAACTGTTTTATAGTTTCTTTTACTCGTTTCTTCCAGCCTATGAAAAGGCTACTAATTTTTAACATCTTGGCAATCTTTAATTGAAAAATAATAGTAGAAGGACAAAAATAATGTGGTACGGGACAGTACCATATGCTTACCATCCCCTTAATTAATATGTTCATTTTTGAAATTTCTCTTTTTTTGTTCAGTCCAGCATAGACACAGAAAATCGGCAAAGAAAACAAATCTAACTCCTCGTCATTCTAGTTCTGCCAGGGACCTGGATTCACTTATTGATAATTAACTGAATTATTCTTGCAGGAAGGATAGCTCATGATTTTCCACAGTTGAAGGTGGTTTTTTTCTGTCAACAAATTATTTGATGACCCAGAGCTTCTCTACTCCTGCAATTTAACATGAGTGGATGAAGGTCATGTGTGCAAAATGTGGTCATGTGCAACCTGTTTATGTTGTTATTGTGTTTTGTAGTATCTAACACTAAATCTTTCTCTGGTTGTAAGATATTTTGCTACGATCAAGATTTTGCTGAGTTTTGTTTAACTCTTAGTAACTTCTGTATCGTTGTTTATTTAAATATAGGCTCGGCATGGCCAAGTGGTTAGGGCATTCGACTCGCAAGCTGCGGGTCACAGGTTCGAATC